TTAACATACAGCATCTTCACCTTCACCTCAAAGACATTTGCAAAGAAACATTTACATCATTTCACACATTGGCAGTAAGACAGGTGACCTTCAGCTGCTTCTAGAAAAGAGTTTACATTCATTTCTCAGAGGTGAACGCATACCTCTTTGTCTCCTCTGGATCTCCTAAAGCAGCTGTAATTCCAGGGCAAACAAAGTAGCCTATGTTTTCCCAACTTGCCAGCAAACATTCAATTGCAAAAAAAAGATTCACAGATGCGTTATGCTAAATGATTGGTACTGTGACCTGTGATGTAACACAAAAGAATAGTTGTTGTTGCCTAAACGTTAATGGAGTTAATCCTTCCAAATGCTGACAAATTACTGCCTCGGGCCATTTAAAATCACATTTCTAATGCAATAATCCTATCTGCATTGCAATGAGTTGGGATGAAATGATTAGGTGCCTGAGATTTTTGCACAGTGAATTAAGTCACCATACAGCCTAGCTGTGCTTGTTCACAAATTAAAGGTCTGGACAGAACTGACATTCCGTTATTCTGCCACTTGCTCAGCTTTGAGAAAGGGTTCATTACTGTCCTGTCTACTGAGACTGCTTCTGAAGCAGCTATGAGCCAGCAAGAACTATTAGTAATTAGACCAGCTTCAGGGCTTTCTTCATTATTAATAATTATTGGTCAAGTCTTTGACTACCAAACAGCCCTTAAACAGAAAAGACTAATTCAACAACATGCATTCAAGAAAGCATGAGATAGAGTTTCAGTAAATTGTGGGGAAAAATGGACCAACCTGTATCCCTCAACACAATTCCTCCCCCATTCACAGCCAGACTGCAAAACCAGAGTTCAGCCACTCCTTATACTCCAAAGCACAGGCTAGGAGAGGGTTCAGAATACATCACCTCACAACATCAACCTAGCACTTACATCACAGCACACCAAAGCAGATATTCACATCTACACAACCAAATTACCTCTGGCTTTAAAGGCTGCGTTCGTGATTTTTTTCAATCTTTTACACTAACAAAGTTTGGGACTGCTCATTCTTAGTATTCAATTGATTAGCTGCACGTGATATAATTTCATATGCATAACTACTTTTTAATTACACTTACAATCACTTCTTTGTTGGACAGCCACAAAGTCAGTGTTCCAATGAAGAAAGAGGATGTCACAGGTTTGAATTCAAGGCAAACAATTTTTAGTTCAAATTCTAATAAGCATAGAGTGTGATGCCATTAGTTTCCATGCTAAAACTCTGAAGGATGCTCTTCTGAAAATACAGTTTGAGAAAAAGCTCAAGATAGCTTTTATTACCATACAAATATTTGTAACAAAAAAACAATGGTCACCAAATACTCCAAGATTCTTTCTGTCACCAACTACAATGTGCATCTATAACAGCTTCTTGTGTCTGTCACTGCCCATGGGAGTGCTTCATATGGGGTTTACAACAAGATTTAATTCTCATAATACAACCCTTTGTATGCAGATGATTGCTGCACATCAGTTAGGCACAACTGTATCACAGAAGAGGAAAAAGGAACAAGATTTCACCTTTTTTTCCCCCTTTGTGTTCTTAGCTTTTTTTCTTTGTTAAGGAATGTTGTATTTTAAACAGTTAAAATAAAGCAGCACAACTATAATTATATATTCCTCATCCTTTTGCCAACCCCCCATATTCTTCTCAAAAAAATAAACAACAACACACAAGTGTTTTCATTCCACTGCTGTATTAAGAGAAAATGCTTCTATTTAAAACTGAAAAGCTCCACACCTGGGCACTAACAATGAGCTACTCAGCAGCAGTTTGCTACAGGTTAAGAGATGTTTTTCCATATGAAATGAAAAGCTTCAGTACATAACTTCATGCATAAAGTGTGGTCTGTTTACACAGCACTGAAGCGTACTGTTGCACTTTGCAGATATATACAAACCTTTACATGATAACACACTGTAGAAAGCATCAATTTAAGTTCACATTCAGAGAAGCTTACTGCATATTCCAATGTTTGCTATGACAAACTCAGATGCCCTCATATTCTGCTTGTTCTGCAATACAAAGTTATGTGCCATTCTAAATACAATGTAAATGTGAAACAGGTGCCACTGACTATATTTATCATGCTAATGACATCTCTAGGCTGTCTTCAACAACATCAAGAAGAATTGCCATACAAGTCAGCTAGATCTGGCAGACAAGAAGATCACAGAATCACAGAATTACTCAGGTTGGAAGGGACCTCAAGGATCATCAAGTCCAACCGCAGCCTAACCATAGTACCCTAACTCTAACAACCCTCTGCTAAATCATAACTCTGAGCACCACATCCAAATGGCTCTTGAACACATCCAGGGACGGTGACCCAACCACCTCCCTGGGGAGCCTATTTCAATGTTTAACCACTCTTTCTGTAAAGAAGTGTTTCCTAACGTCCAACCTAAACTTACTTTGGCGCAACTTGAGGCCATAAATGTTAAATATTCCATTAGAAATAATAAAGATGGACACATGTAATCAATAATATGCTGGACACCACAGTCTTGAGCTGTAAAATGCTTTGCAAGTTTAGAGGGAATAGCCTGGCTCTGGAATAGAATCTGTTTCCTTTTCCACTCCACCCAATGGCTGGATCAAACCCACTCCTAAAACCTACTTCTGCAGCAGCAATCAAGAACATGCTTTGCAGTTCCCTGAAGAAAATGCCAGCTTCAAGCCAAGCAGGAATAATTTTTTCCCCAACGTACATGATCATTTCAATTCCTATAAGAGGCTTTATATCCCCCACCCTCAGAGAGAAACCCCTGTGTGTTACTGCACTTGGCAGCCACAGAGGCAGTGCACAGGCCCTTGCTGAGCTGGCACAGCCCACATCAACATCCCACTGTCACCGCAGATACGGTTAAGGCTCCCAAATGCAGGCCAATAACAACAAACTTGAATATGTGGTCCTAAGAAGTCAACGATACTAGCCACAATATTTGTATCCTACGTTCCCTAAACTAAAGCCTCACTGTCTTGGGCTGTGTTTGCTGAGGGCAGAATTCACAAGCCCAAAAAGTTCCTAAGAGTTGTAAAGACAGAAAGGAATGTTTCTGCAAATACACACAGCCAGGTAGCAATCAGAAGGGAGCTGAGAAAGACTGGAGAACCAGAACAGGATTGAACCTGCAAGCACTGTTAAATACAGTGAATGAGGGAGAGGGTCTCTGGAACCCTCAAAGATCTCCTTACTTGTGTCTCTCTCCTCCCCCTAACCCTACATCTACACATCAGATAACAACAGTTTTGTGAATTGTGAATAGCAACCCTACAGAACTGAAAGGTTCAGAAAAGAGGTGTCAGAAAAGGAAAAAAGCATAAGGTAAGGGAGGCTGAAAATGGATTAGTACTGTTGTGAATAAAGATTGGCCCGTACAATACCATCAGCTAAACTCTGAACAGAACAATTAACAACAGCAACAGGATGGGAACATCTCAGGAAGGCTAAGCATGGCTATCACTAAGAGAATACTTCACAAATCTTTATCACTGCAAAAGTGTCTTGCAAGACTTACATCTCCAATCTGTTATTCTGGTGGCTTTCATATCTGTACCCATAATTTATCATCTATATCCACAGCTATTAAGAACTGCCAAATCACACAGCCTGAAATTTGTTAAGATTTTGGTACAGAGCTGCTTTCCAGAGAACCAATTCTGTGTTAACAACCAATTAAACCATACTAACTTTTGTGGTTCCACCTTTTCCTTTTCATGAATAATTCAGTTAAGCCAGCCCTTGAGAACCTACCTTTTGTTCAAGAGAGCACCAATTCCCTGGCAAACAGCGCATAAATAAATAATGGAGAGCACAACACAACAGTAATATCAGGGACCTTTTCTGAGCAGTCGGCTCTTTTCCACGATACCTCCTTATCGTAACTGCTAATGAAAACTCTTTGAAGTGGAAGAGTAAATATTATCATTTGATAGTACCTGAGCCAACAGGGCAAATGAAATCGCATTGTATTACGTTCTGGGAGCTGTAGACCAGTTCACAATACAACACTCACCAGGTTGCTATGAAGGAGCTCACTGCTCACTATTTTGGTAGCATGGGGTCAGCCAAGGGCTGCTGGGGACTCTTGGAGGGTCCTCAGCCTTAATCTTTACATGCAAAACAAACAAGAAAGAAAAAAAAAGAAAAACCAACCCATGCAAAACAAAATAAAAGCAGGGAATTCCAGAGTATGCCAGCTTTTGGCCTCTGGTGAGAACCTGGTCCTTCCAAAGACCTCCAGCCTCTACTCATGATCACTTAGCTCCAAGGCCAGATTTCAGAAGTGCTTGCACGCTTTGGATTATTCAACAACAGCTCTGAGGTTTTTTTAGATCTCCTTTGATAAAAAGGAAATCTAGCGCTGCTTTGTAAGAAAACACCACCACCAAGTCGCCCTGATGTTAACAACACCCTGGATTCAATGCAAAGGTCTGTCACAGCCTCCTGTGTGACCTTCAGGCTCACGCTGCATTTCAGTGCCTCATCTTGGAAGCGCGGGAGGATCTCTGCCACGCTTGGCCTCTCAATGGAAACACAAGGCACAGACATGAGATCTCAGGACCCTGTGGCTGAAGTCGGCTCCCGAATCTCGGGCCATTTTGTAAAGTCATGCTGTGGGATCAAAGAGAGCAAAAGGGGATGGGACCACCGACTCCCGTGTGGAGTTGCCACCCTTTCCCGCCCTTCACCGGGCTCAAGAACACGGGAAATCACAACGCAAAGCCACCACAGTCATAAGGAAAGAGGGAGGCAAGAAGCAAGCTGAAGGTGCTGTCACAGACACCCCGGAAGCGCAGCAGCCCTCCAGAAATGGAAGCAAGAGAAAGAAATAGGAAAGGAAAACAATACCAAGAAGGAACCGGCACAAACAAACCCTAAAAACGTCAGCGGAGGCACCGGCAAAGGCGCGGCTGCGGCACACGGCGCGCCCCGACCCCCGGCGCGGCCCCCCGCTCACCTTGCTGCTGACGGGCCCGGGGATGAGCAGCTTCAGCGCCTGCCTCTTCAGCTCCGCCAGGCGGGCGTTGCAGTGCTCGCACCAGACGCCGCGGTCGGAGCCCGGCGAGGAGCCGCCGCCGCTACCGGAACCCGGCGAGCCGGTGCCGAAGCCCGGCGAGCCGCCCAGAGAGCCGGGGGAGCTGGTGCCGATGCCGGGCGAGGCGGGCCCCGGGGAGCCCGTGAAGGAGCCCGGCGAGGAGGTGCCGGAGCCGGGGGACGGGGTGCCGGAGGAGCCGAGCGCCGAGCCGGCTCCCTCCGGGACCGGGCGACTCCCGGCGCGGGACTCCTCGTAAGCCTTGCGGTACCAGCTCTCGGGGGAGAAGGGCGCGGCGGGCTTGGTGGGCGAGCAGGGCTCGGTCATCTGCAGCGGGAGAAGGAGCAGCGGTCAGGGCAGCCCGCACCCGGACACCCCGCAACCCGAGCGCCCCCCGCTCCCGTCGCCCGCACTCACCCCGTATTTTCTGCTCCGCGCCGTGACCGCGACCCTGTCCTTATTCCCGGCCACCGAATTCATGGTGGCTCCGCGGGTGGGCTCCCCCGGTCAGCAGCCGAAGGGAACCGTCGGTCCCGGCGAGCCCCCGCGCCGGGCGCTGCCGCCGCCTCAACGCTGAGCGCCGAACGCCGTCAGTCCTCGGGAGAATGCCGGGGAGCGGAGCGCTCGGCCGGCCGGCTTTCCCTCATTGTCTTCCCGCCCGGTCCCTTCCAGCCGACGCTCTCACAGAAACAGCCACATCCAGAGCGGGAGCGCTCCCTCCGGCAGCAGCCCTCCTCCGCGAGCGAAGCATCCGAGGCGGCTGCGGGGAGGTGCACTCGCGCCGTAGCCTCCGCTACGACGGCAACTTGTTTCCCTCAGTCAGGTTTGGAAGTGAGTTACAAGAAATCCTCCCAAAATCTCGGCGGCCGGGCTCTGGGAGGAGCCTCCGCGCCCTCGCAGCCAATATCCTCCCGCCCGGCCGCGCCTGGCAGCCCCGCGGCCCCCCGTCTCCCGTCGGCGCGGGGCTCTGCCCGCTCCTGGGGCCGCGCCGGCTGCGGGGAGGGCCCCGATGTTTTGCGGTGCTCCTGATTGACACCGCCGATTTTCCCCTTTTTCTTGAAGCTGGCAGGCGGGGCTGGGGGGAACCTTGTTGCTTCCACCGCAGTTATTGGTTAGTTGCCTCCGTTCAGGGCTTTAAAGGACATGACTTCACAAGGGTCCTAACCGCGAAAGGAAAGCGAGCTGAGTCTTCGATTGTCATAAGCGTTTCTTCTCCGCGTTGTAATTTTACGTGTATTAATTTAAGTTTGCGATCAAGGGCATAGTAAATTGATCTCTTAACAATAACAACCCGCAGACTTCTTTCCCTTCTAACTGCGATTTTTGCTTTCCAGCTGTGGCTTACGCGCACCTGGTTGCAGCTCCTTTCTGATGCCTACCCCTGCAGATAGCACGCTCATTCCTTGACTCAAATCAAATTGGCGACCTTCTCAGAAAAGGCTGCAGTAAGGAGCTGGGTGCCAGTTCCCCCGATACAGCCAAAATGCAAAGGCGAGCAGGGATGTAGGTGGGAGGGCAACACGGACAGGGGTTGCATCCACCTTCCCACTCTCCCCTTGGTACCTCCACTGTACCCCTACTGTGCCGGGGCTGTATGGGCCACGGGCACCCAGAGCAGCCTTGGACCATTGAGAGATTCCCGCCAGCAGCGAAGGTGCTGTGCTTTAACTTCACCAGGCTGTTGCTCCGATAGGAGAGCAGCCATTCTTGACAAGAAAGCTTTCATTTCGACCGACACCGGGCTGCATCAGCTGCCCCCTGTGCACCCACCTACGTGCCCAAACACCTGGCACACAAAGGCTCGCGCCGCACACCGCTCTGCCCCGCGCTCCGTTCCGTAGGCAGACGTGACCGGGATGCCAAGGCGCTGCTCGACGCGCCGAGCGGCGTGCGATGCCCCGTGGGCGCCTAACTTCTGCTTTTCCGCGCTCAGCGATTCTGGCGGCGAACAGGCAGGTTGCTTTGTTTCTCAGCAGATCTGTTCCTGCCAAGCAGCCGCCGCCACATCCCGCGCCTCGGCAGCAGCGCGCCCAGCCGAGGCCGGCGCCCGCACTGGGGCGCGGGGCAGCCGCGAGCAGACAACTTTGAGAGCGGCGGAGCCCAGCACGGGCCCGGCGTCCGCTCTCCCTCAGCCCCCGTCGGGCGGCAGCGGCTACCGGAGGCGGGGGGGACGGCACCTCGGGGCGGAGAGGCCGCTCCCCCGCAGCCCAGCGCGGGCGCTGTGGGGCGGCGGCGGGTCGGGCGGGGCCGGCGCATCCTTTTGCGGGCGGTGGGCGCCCTCTGCTGGCGACGAGCGGCAGAGGCGGGTTCCGCCGTGCCAGCTTCCTGCTGGCTGCGGTCAGCGCTCCTGGTTGTTTGAGTCAGTTACAAAAGGCTTCTATTGAAGTGTGAGAACTTCTGGGAGCAGAGATGCACCGAATTCTCCAGCTGGAGACGTTTTGCTGCTAAACGCTCTGCAGTTCTTGTTATTTTGTGCTAGCCTGAGTATCACGCCAGCAAGAAACTGTACCAAGAGCCCATTCTCTGGGTTAACACCTGCTCTAGGGAGCACTGACGTGCAATGCTTTCTCCCTCTCTTTGGGCTCCCCTGTGTAGTAGTAGTTCATGAGGTTTCCTCTTACAGCTCCTTGTGCGGGCAGGGAAAGCACCTTAGCATCAGACAGGCCAGCAGCTCAGAACAGCCATCAGAGCAGGACCTGGTGGTGGCCAAACTTCTCTCTTCTGCTGTCTCCAGTATCGTGCCACATGGGAGCCCTCCTTTGCTACATCTGTTCTCGTTCAGGCAGCTGAGCTTCAGTTAGGTGATTTAGCAGCTGTGTGATCCCAGGTGCAGACTGATACAGGGCCATTTATTTTAAAAATCTAGGAGCGGTGGCTGTGGAAGATGCTGCAGGAGGACTCTGCAAACAATTTTAGATTTGTTCTCCACCTAGGGGTGTTTGTTCTTGATTCTAGATGCAGAACTGAAAAAATGTGGTTGTTCAGACATTTATAGGTAGGTGGACAGAAGCAAAAACCCTGGATACATTCATTGCTTGAGAGGTTCAGACAAAAGCCAGTTTCAAAGCACTGAGTATGGACTCTGATCTCAAACTATACATTACAAGCTCTAATGATAACGTGTCTTTCAGCTAGTACGCAAATTTCCAGTTTCTCCATCATACAGCAGCATGTTTGCTCTGTTGTGCTACAACTGCTGCTTTTCATTGGACTTTGTCTGCATATATCATGCTGTGTGGGTGCAACTGAATGTAACCTAGAAGTTCAGCTTCATCATTCAAATCTGAGGTTCTGGCACAAGCCCAGTTCTACCAATAAACAGCAGTCTATGAGAGCTGGAAATGTTGGTTGCATCAAATAAATTCTTTGAGATACTCATATTTGTAATAAATCTCAGGATTCAAAAGGTGACAGCAACTGTAACTTGAAGACTCATCACTGCCTGCCCAGAAAATTTGTTTCCAAGTTTGGTGCTAATAAGTCTCAGTATCAGGTCTTACTTACAATTTTAAACAGCTTCCTTGGGGAGATTTGAAATGCATGACAGCTCTGATACTTGCTTAAAGCAGAATATTAATGAGTTGGAGGCCATTGGGGGACAGAGGGAATTGAAGGTATTTGTAGTAATAGTAACAAAGAATTAATAGACACAGCTAACTACTGAGGTCCACAAACAAAACCACCAGGACTTCTCAAGTTTAATGCATTTCTTTTCTAAAAATCTTCCCAGTTCTTGTTTCCGCTTCCTTGTCAAACTATAGGTTCACTTCAGTGAAAAGCTCTGTTAAGAACATCTTGAATCCTTTATCTTTTGTATAGCAGCAACACATATCCACAGCTTGTGTATTCTGCAGGATTTAAGGATTCATGCAGTACAGGAGGATGTCAGACATAGGGACTGCAGCTGTAATTCTAATGTTGTGTGTAATGCCCTTTTATATGCTCCTGGGATATGCCAGAGTGCTGGAGAGTGTTTTTCTACTTGCTCTTGACAACTGTTGAGTATGATACAATGGAGAATTAAGCCTGGGCATTTCCTCTGTACGATCTGCTTTCTGAGCTATTTTCTGTAGCGTAATGTCAATGTCAGCCTCAGTGCTTACCTTGTGTGTCAGCAAAAGAGGTACTGACACTGGAAGGCATGTACATCTCGAGCCCTGTTACAGTGCCTAGTTCTGGGACATAACAGATAAGGGACACTCTAAATGGTCCCTATTACAACTTCCACTTCTTGCTGTTACTGACAGATCTGCATCACTACATTTTAAATGCTTTTTCTTACTCCAGAATGCTTTATTGTCCTCCTGACAGGGGCACATCTCCCTGTTAGCTTAGCTTAGCCCTTTTGCCTCAGGGTTCTTGCACAGGTGTTTAGCCTGTAGTTCCCTCGGTCCACTGGGAGTTTCCTTGAATCTCTCCATAATATAAAAGGAAGCCATTTGTGTTCAGATTTGGACCAAGATGCATGGTCTGTTGCAAATTAAGTGCCCTTAAATCTTGCCTTTGCTCAATACTCAAAACAAATTTATTACTCACAAAAGACTTTCTTATTTGGATTTATTTGGAATGGATTTTTTTTCTATATTTCAAATATAGAGCATTTCATACATTTTCTAGAAACCTCTTTCGTAGTTTCTGCCATGCTGCACTGCCTACTTTTATAAATCTTTATGTTCTCAGTAGAAAATCAATGCCTACTTATTAATACAATATTGATATGTGTTTCATAAGTAATAAAGGATGCATAAGCATATACTCACAAAGCAGGGCTGCATGGAGAAGTTTACAGTCGTTCTGTGCAGTGGGATGCATTGCAATGACAAGTCTGCAGCCAATTTCTGTCAAGTTCATAAATTCAAATACTGAAATTTGACAGAACCCCATTTTCTGTTACTCAGACACAATCAGCATTCTCCAAACTAAAGACATGCCTGAAAAATGAAACCAACAGTGAGTACCTGTGACTCTGAAAGCACCAAGCCCTACCAATACCAATTTTTAAACAAAACAACAATGGAGCAGGAAAGTACTGGAGTAACAACAACCAGAGTCACGGTATTAAAAGGAGAAAGATGTAAGCCTTTTCTCAACTCTTGTTGCCTCTGCAGGCACTCTGAAAAGCTGTCAGCTGCTTGCTGTGCTGGGCTTGGTGGATTCACTTCCCGGATAATGCTGTAGCTGCATCCTGCATCTGTGGGCTCTGACCGAAGTCCCCAGTGAAGCTGGCTGCTGGCTGCCTTGCCCAGAGGAGCCATGCAGAGGGGGTCCATGGCATCCCGAGCTGCCAGCAGTGCTTTCTTAAATGCCAAAGGCTGGCTGGAGATTTCAGGGGGTAAAGGAGTCCTTTCAAACATTCTTCAAAGACTCTCCTGTCTCAGGAGCCAAGGAAAAATGTGTCTTCTGAAAGATCACTCGGTGATCTTCTTTGGATAGAAGAGAAGATGGCATTCATGCTATTAACAAATAATGTTATTTCCAGGAGGAATATATACCAGAATGT